AAAAAAAAAAAAGAAAGTGTGACATTGTATATACAATACTGATGTATGGCATAGTGCGACCCTGTGGCAAAATTGAGTGATTCTATGGGTATGTGATCTTGTATCTGTGTGACCCTCATGGATGTGGCCTTGGGACTGACATCAGGGTTTGTGTATTGAGTGTGTGATGTATCTGTGTGACCACGGTGTGACCCTGTAATGCCTGGATAACCCTGGATGTGTGGTCATGACATTGTGTCAGTGTGCACCTCTGAGCCTCTGATGCTAACACCATTGCCATGTACATCTTTGCCTACAGCATTTCCTGGGTTTTTGCCTGACAGCCATGCAAGTCTGAAGAGAGACTGGGGGCTCTGGCAGCCCCTCTTACCCCCAGCCTGTGCCCTTTCCTGGCCCTGAGGCCCAGTCTAGATGAGGGAGCTGTGTGGGGGCAGCAGGCACAGTTCCCACAGTCACTGTGGCCCCTCTCCCAGCCCCAGCACCACCGACTTCAGCTCCACAGAATATCTTGGCAACCCCAGCCTCTTTGTTCTCAGAGGCCACCCCATCCCAGCCTGCCCCATGCCTGGCAGGTACCCCCTAACCCACAGCAGCCAGGCTTGGCCTGACCTAGTCTCTAGCTGCCCTTACACCCACACACACACTCCACCCAGACTTAGGCCCCTGTCCTATGCCCTGAACCTGACCCAGGGACTCCAGACAGGGCTGTTGATGCACTGCTGTGAGCTTGCTATACAGGAAGAAGGAAGCAGAATAGCTCCTGTGGCTGTACTGGGTGATTGTGGGCCAGGAACTGGGCTCTCCGTATGAGTACTTCTCTTTGGCCCAAGGCTAGAGGGATGCTTAGTCATCAGTCTAGGACAGTTTTGGTTTGTCCAATAAGTTTACTTCTTTAGCTCCAGAAAGTCATCAGGACAGGAATTATTACCTATTTTATAGATGAGGCCTGGAAGCTGACAGAGAATATGTGACTTGCCCAAGAGCAAATGGCAGCAGGGCCCTGATTATAACCCAGGCTCCTAGTTGCCTTGGGAGAAGGACCAGCTGCCTCCAAAAGAATGGAGAGAGGGCCTGGGAGTCCGGACACATGGGTGCTTGCTCATTTTTGGTCACCATGTCAAATGTCAAAGCCACATTTGTGTATGTATGTGTGTCCTTGCTGGATGACCTTGGCCAAATGCCTTGCCTGTGCGTGTTCCAAGAAAGAAGCCAAGGATTGTGAGGTGGGGCACTTGACAGGGTGCTTTGCAATGTAACAAAGTCACCTTACAGACCCACAGCATTTCCAACAGGGACATGAGGTTGTTTGTACCCAGGCAGATTCTGGTTTGGGGCCCCAGCTTCCATTCTCAGGTTCAGCCCATCTTTGTGCTGCCACAAAGAAGGCAGTAGTGATGACCACACAGCTTGGCTGTAGGCAAGACCATTTGGGTCTGACCTAACTAAGCAGTGGCTCCCACCCCTACCCAGGTACCGGAGGTGGATGGATGGAGGCCACGGTACAGCCTGCCCAGCCCCTCTCTGCCCACCCATAGCCCTGGGCTGGCAGGCCACTGCTACTGACAGCCAGGGTTGAGGGAGGGACTGGCAGCATAGTAATAACACAGGCCTTAGTCCAAAACCCTGCAGGAATGGCACAGAGAGACCCAGCTGTCTCCTAGGGTTACACAACCCTGCAGGGAGTCTTGTCCCCACAGGCCCACATGCCCCTTGAGGGCTTTTCCTGCCACATGAAGTGGGGAATGGCTGGGGAGGATAGTAAGGGTATAGGAGGGTTCCCTGAGGCTTGGCCAGGCTGCCAGTGTGGACAATTTCATCTTTCTCCGCCTGTCGACCTGCCATCTTTCAGCGGCATTAAATTCCACTCCTGCCAGAGAAAAGGAGCTGCCTCAGATCCCAGGCAACAGGGTGTAAATATGGGGCTGGCCCAAGGGAGATAAGCTAAGTCCTCCAGGGCTCCAGGC